AATCAGCATGCCTCGGAGCTACCTGTGGATATAATTAAAGTTAACTCAATACGGGTGGACTGTAACGTTACACGTGGCTCATTTTTGAACGGGATAGAGGACCATGTAATACATGAGTTCTATCCTGCAGATCCACCAGGCTATAAAATAATAGAAATACCGCGGAATGTTATTTATTTGCCAGTGATCAGCCAGAGGATAAACAACTTGACAATCTCCCTAAGAGATCAAGACGGTAAATTAGTTAATTTTCGTGGAGAAAGAATTTCAGTAAGGCTCCATCTAAGACGGAGTAATGGGTCTGCTATTTAGTGATTTACCTACAGTTCGACGATTTAGTAGTAACCAGACATCCAAAGGATTAACTTGTAAAAATATAAATTTTCTTCGCTCTCTCGGCTTCAAAGTAATAAAAAATGGCTCTGTTAGAGATAGGTCAAGCAGCAGCATACGATGATTTAATCACCAGTATGGAATTTCATACTCACCAACCATACGCATCTACTACTTATAATAATAATGATGAAATTAGAATTCCACTTCTACAACAGGACATAATTACAGCTCCATTTTACAGTAGTATTGTCATTCATGGTTCGGTCAGTGCTAAAAAAACTGACGGTTCATCACAGGAAGTATCACTTGTTAACAATGCAATTGCATTTTTATTTGAGGAAATTCGCTACGAGCTTTGCGGAAAAGAAATTGATAGAACAAAAAATGTAGGCATCACTACAACTTTGAAAAATCTCGTTTCCATTAGGGAGGAAGAGAAAAATACTTATAAGAATGCGTGTTGGTTGGGACCCGGTAAAGTTGAAAAAGCTAAGGATTTTGTATATTCAGTACCTTTGAAACTTTTGTTGGGGTTCACAGAGGACTATAAAAAAGTTTTGGTGAATGCTAAACAAGAGCTCATCCTATTGCGTTCATCCAGAGATGAAAATGCTGTATTTACCACTAATGAAGGTATGGTGACATTAAAAATTGATAAGATCTACTGGCGTATACCTCATATAACTGTAAATGATAGCCAGAAATTAAAACTGTATAAGTATATCGAGAAAGATCCAACTATTCATATTCCATTTCGGCAATGGGAGTTAATTGAATACCCAACCCTACCCACAACTGAGTCTATGTCTTGGACTCTTAAAACTTCTAACCAAACAGAAAAACCACGATATATTGTTTTAGCATTTCAAACTGGTAGGAAAAATAGTGTAACCAAAGACATGTCTCAATTTGACATTGCTGATTTACAGGATGTAAAATTGTATTTGAATTCAAACTTTTACCCTTACGATAATATCCGTGGAAACTCTTGTTTGTTTTATGACATGTATACAAGTTTCCAAAGCTCCTACTACGGAAGAGTTGGTTCTCCTATATTAAGCTTTAGTGATTTCACATCAAACTGTCCAATTTACGTAATCGACTGTTCTAAACAGGATGATACTATTAAAACCGGTCCTGTAGATGTTAGACTGGAAATTCAATTTAAAAATGCTATCCCTGCAAATACAAGCGCATACTGTCTCATTATTCATGATACACACTACACATACACACCAATCACTGGGGATGTGAGAAAGATATCTATGTAAGGGGTAGCATTGCGATCAGTTTAGGGTAAACATTCAGGTGGTAAACATGGAATGGCTTAGTGTTGAGTTTTATGACGAGCATAACATATTGCTTGGTATAGAGAAGGTAGACTGTTTTAAAATATATGCAGATATGAAAAAGTTTAATGTTCCCCATGGTACTAGTAAAATCCTTGTTAAAATTAGAGAAGGTCCTTCTATGTCAGATGAGGAGTCTTCAGAAGAGGAGGAGGAGGAGGGGGAGGAGGGGTTATTTTACTTTTCAGATGAACCATGAGTGGGTAGGGTGGGGAGGGTTAAGGGATGTAGGTTAAGGGTATAAGGAAAGTAGTTTAGTTGCAGAGATGACTTCACAGGAGACAGAGGTAAGTGCTAACGCTATAGCTATCCCTAAGGAGAAGGAGCCTATAAATCTTTTAACCGGAGTCTTTCTAAAGTCAGTTTACTTTCTGGACTCCGAGCTTACCAAGTGTGCGATAACAGGAATTGTTAAAAACCGTGATAGCAGTCTTGGGGTAATCATCAAAGGTAAAAGGGGTTGTGTTTATTGGTCATACGATTCATTTTGTCAGCTTTGTGATCGTTTCAACTTAATTACTTTAGCTCTCTTGGAAAAACGATCAGAAAATATTAAGACCGACGAAGGATCAAGTATCAAAGTAAATAACGTATTTGGAAATCAGTACGCGTACATTAGTGACGGTGAGCACTCCTTGTCCCTTAATTTAGTTGAGTGGAATCAGTTAATAAAGAATATCCCTATAATTTGTAGAAACCTCTTGGAATTATTTTACTTGGAAGTATTCATTAAAGATTTTATCGATCAAGTTTTGGCTGACGCTAAAGAACAAACAGACGAGCTACCATCTGACGTTGCTGATCGTCTTAGAAGTGAATTGTCAATATGGAGGCTGTAGTAGAGTTTCAAGCTTTTAAAGATAACAATGATAATTTCATTATAAAAGAACTGGCCATTGTTGGTGGTTCTCTAGAGTGCCAAATATTGTTTAAACCTCCCTACGGCTTTCATCAATTAAACTCTAAAGCCCAAAAAACCAATCGTTGGCTTTCTCGAAATCATCATGGTTTGCGTTGGGAAGAGGGTAGTATACCATTTAATGAGGGTTTAATTTCAGCCTTATGTCTCCCTTTTCAATGTATATATACTAAAGGTAGGGAGAAGGCTGAGTTTTTGAAGAGGTTTCATTCAGATGTTCGTGTAATAGATGGTCCCGCTATTGACGCTATGCCAGGAATAGCATGTTCTATGGGTGACCATAAAAAGTGTGCCGTACGTACTGCATACACACTTCAGTACTACTTAAGCCTTTCACTTTATGAAGCTGGTCAGTATGAGCTTGGAGATGGAAAACGTCTGGTCACTATTGTCACAAGAACCAAAGGAGCCCGAAGGGGTGATGACTGACAGCTTTATAATGAAGTTTGATCGGTTTTTGGACTGGAACATTTTATCCAATAAATATAATTTTTCTATTGATATGCTTAGGATTTATTTTCACAAAGTCAACTGGAGTCTAATTTTGAAGCGTCAAAAATTCTCAGAAGCCTTCCTTCGAGAAATGGCTCTTAATTTTGATGGGTGTTGGGATATTGTTAGTAAATATCAAAAACTATCCGAACCCTTCATTCATGACTATGCTAGTAAAGTAGATTGGGATTATATCTTGTTATATCAAGATGTAAGTAGCAAGTTTGTAGATGATCATTTATCGTATATAGATATTTCTTACTAAAAAAATCTTACAGATCATCTGAGGTGCGGTTTATATGCTCAACAGGCAGGCTTAAAACCCATAAGTCCACAGGGCATAAGGTTGATATAAACCTCAAAGAGGATCGCCACTCACTCATCAGGCTGGCGTAAAACCTGTAAGTCCACGGGGTGAGGAGGCTGGCCTAAAAACCTTAAGACATTGAGTCTCCCTCAGGCATCCTCAAATGTATGTGTAACCCCCTCAGATGATCTGGAAGATACAAAAAAAATATAAAGAAAAAATATCCTTTGTCAGTGGCAAGAGGGTTAATTGAAAGGCTTCACCAAGTAAATAACCCTCTACATTAGTCAAAGGACAAAAAAATATATAAAAGTAAAATATCCTTTGTCAGTGGTAAAAGGGTTAATTGAAAGGCTTCACCAAGTAAATAACCCTCTACATTAGTCAAAGGACAAAAAAAATAAAAAAAATAAAAAAATAAAAAAAATATTGGGAGGTGGCATATTTGTTATGGAGTGGCCATCACCATAGACTGCGATGGATGGGGCAGTCTATCTCAGAGGGTGTAGACCTCCTGGGGATGCCTCTGAGTTAACAAAAAAAGAATGCGCTGAGACCCCTACCTCATGGGTGGTGTGGAAACGTGGGTCAATATCCAAGCAGATTAAAAGTTACATCACAAGGTGAACTTTGTCCCCCATTTTCCCTATTTAAGCAGGACCAACATCGAGATAGTCAGTATAGCAGCACCACTCTAGAAGTCAACATCATCTGCCATCTTAAACATTTACATCATTGTAAGTATGATTTATTACTTTTTAATTTTTTTTTGCTGGTCAATTTAATGTAAAAATTTAAAATAACGAGTAAAACAGGTAAAATACAGAGTAAAAACAATTCAACTATATGGTCTCTTTGACACATTTAACAGTTTTTTTTTTACTAAAGAATACAGCAGGAAAAGATTGTTTATTAATCTCAAATTGGTAATTTCAGATAATGGACAAACAAATGTTGCAAGAACTAGCTGTCCTCGAGGTTTATGACGGTCCTTCTAAGGTCCCTTGTAAGGACCTCACCGCCGCAGAGGGCTACCCCATAAACTCCATGAAGCGCACAGAGACGAAATACGGCCCATCCATCATGGTCGAAATCGTCATGCCAAAGGGAGAGACAGCCATCACTTTCCTCCCTCGAAGATTTGTCGACCAGCTGACAAACCAGCAGATTGACCGCTTCAACAAAGGCGGCTTCAAAATCCAATGTACAGGGATGACAGGGCGAAGCCCCAACGTAAAGTTCTTTATGTAATAAAAAATATAGAAAAATAAATGTACTATTTCTTTATTTCGATTGTTTTTAATATCTTCCCTGCTACAACCAATAATTAGAAGGTAATTTGCAAAATGAAGGGTAAAAGGGTAATGCATTAATTACCGCTCCAAAGAGCATTTAACTATTATATGAAGGGAAATATAAAATTTGCAGCTTAAAAATAATATTTAACTATTATGCGAAGAAAAATACAAAGATAGTTTAAAATTACATACCAACTTGAAAGGTAACATTTATTTGACAAATACAAAGTTCTGCTAGCTAAATAGCATTAAGTATCATACAAAGAAAAATACAAAACTAGACTAAGGAAATGCCGAGGACAGAATAAACAACTCTCCATATAAAGTCATCAAGGAAATTGCAAATCATTTGGAGGTTGTTTCCACATAAATTAGCAGAGGAACAAATTTGGCAAGCTGTCAAAGAGATAGCATTGCGATTATTTTGAGGGTCAGGTCACTCTGATTCGAGGTTTTATCTCTGTATATATATCAGAGTCAAAAATTGAAGCCTCATCACTCTCTGTGAATATCTTCACCATGAAGTTTCTTTCGGTAGTGTTTCTGCTAGCCGGCCTTACAGCCATCAACTCCTCAGACGAGGAAAATCCTCCTTCACGTTCGGTAAGTCTTAAATATTAAAATTGCTTTTTTTTAGGTTTGTATACTTTAAAATAGTCAACTTATAATTGTTTTTTCAGGTTATGTATATTTTTAGTGCCCAAGTGTAAATATTTTAAACCACGTATAACAAGGAGCATAGGATGAGTGACGTTATCTTGAGATCTTATAAGCCGCCACATTCTTTGACGCAGCTGGAGCCGTGATTAACGACCTGTCACATTCCTTCACAGCAATCAACAACCCGTACAACCGATGATAATCACAACAGATTATTTTGAAATCAAAACCATAATTTTGTCTTGTGATTAACTAAATGTTATAATTTCAGGATAGTACTATATTGTCGTAATATTTACTTGTGCAAACATCCGGGAACTATATTACATTATTTGTATTTATCTTTTAGGTACCCAGTCCGGACATCTTTCAAGATGATGATTCTGTAAGTTATATTGAAAAAAAAATACTTTTTATACTTTACATATTTCTTTATCTTTTAAAGACCTGTTTAATAATTCAGTTTTAATTTACAGGAACTATACGTATGTTATGACATAAAATTATTTCTACATTATATTAATTTGACACTGTTTTTCCAGGACGCCACTGTGGAAAACCTCGACCTTAATCAATGGAGACGTGTAAGTTATTATTTATAAGTTTACTCTTATAAACTGTTCAAAATACATACTAATCAAAACTAAATAGTTTCTACTTATAAAAATATGTTTTTATTTTCAGAATGAAATAATACATTTATTGCTTCCATTCAACCACAACAGCACCGGGGAAGTATATTTCACCAACATCAGAGGAGATTTGCTATCATATAGACGGCAATTGAATGATAACACTACCCTCAATTTATTTCCTCTAGAAGGGTTTGCTCACATTTCCCAGGTAAGAAAACGGTAATAGAGTACGTTTAAAAAATCCAACATTTGTTAATCATTCATGTTTGTTAATTTGCCGTATTATTAATTCATATGTATTTTCCAGCGCCGTGCCAACGTAGAAATTCATAACATGAGGAGGTACAGTTATCCAACCCCTGAAACTGGGATTTACCCCTATGTCAGAGTTGCAACTGTTAACTCCATTGAGTGGACTCTAACTACACTGATGGTCAGTAGAAATCCTAGATGTATTTACATTAATTAGTTTTACTAGTAGAAGTAACTATTTTTATAACTTACAAACATTTACAGAGAGGTGGTGAACCAATTGACCAAGAACACCTTCAGTTATGGCAAGGAGATGTGACATCCAACCATACCGTAACTGAAACCTCGGAGTATTTAGAGTCCGAAGTGCGGCGAACGCAGATGGAACACATCATTATGGTAATTTATCAGTATAATCATTTACTCACCTTTTAACCATTCCTAATAGCATCCCATCGTAATAAGTAATTAATACAATTACTAATAACTTTTAATTTATTCCAGCTTGAGCCTGCACTTCTGATGAATAATGACTCCCATTTCACAAATACAAGAGGAAATATCCTCATATATTTAGCCAGAACAGCTCCACTGCCTCCAATCGGCTATCATCAGATAACCTATGTAAGTAAATATAACTAGCTATTATACATTTTCACTGTAAGTATATAATAGATTGTTGGTTTATCTTTTTTTTCCTTTTACAGTCAGAGGCAGCAGACCGTTTTGTTCAAATATTAAGATCTGTGAGTGGGGGTCATTTAACCATAGAATTCAGCAGCACCTATGAAGATTACTACAGAAGGCCACGTGATCCATTTTGGATACTCATCACACATGAGGTAAGACTAGTATCAATGTTCACTATTAAATAGTACAGTAGTATGATTTAGTACCATGTAAAATATTTATTGCATAATTTACATCATTTTGTTTTTCAGAATAACGGCAGAATTCCTGAAGGAACACGCTGGTTGTATTACAATTCGACCGGCGAAGGGTCCTACATTTCCCATGTATTTAGAGGGACCCCCGGACTTCTAAGTCGGATCGAAGAACAACACAATCAGCACCTGATGGATGCCGTTTCAGGCCTTCGACCAGTACCTTCTGAACCTGTTGCTGGACCATCCAGAAGGATAAATCCCACGGTAAGAATAATATAAGTTTAGAATAAATCTTTAGCATCTATAATATATGTATATTAGAATATTGATATATTTTACATTTTTTAGCCCGTGGATGACTTCGACCCGTCACAGGCACAGGGGAACGAGCTTCTCTCTGACGAAGTACTACCATCTTCACCTCGTAGTCCTTCGCCAGAGACCTCTTCTTCCCATGCACTGCTAGAGCCCCATCCTCTCTGCCGGAGCTGCCAACGGGAAGAAAGAATCCTACGTCAAAGAATGGAGTTTTTTCTAAGGGTGGGTTTTCATCGCCTAATTTTATTTCTCTTACCCAACCATAACTAGAGACATCAACAAAAAAAATAAAACTTGATTTGTTTTCAGGATATCGATGCCGACAGTGGTGACAGAGCTTCGTGGAGAGCTATCGGCCACCTCAACACCACTAGGACAGAACTAAGGGAGGTGTTGACATTGGCAGATTCCGCAATTGGAATGGCCAGCCGAGCAGAGATGGCAGAAGTTGCTCCAGTCATCTGGAACGAGATCCGGACGTCCTTGGAGCGGATCCTCGTGATGACAGGACAACAGATGGACGATAACATCATTCGAGGTCAAGAAACCCCAACCGAACCTCAACGGACCATCACCTGCCAGATCTGTCAGGATGCTCTCCCAACGATTGTGATTCAGCCTTGTCACCATACCCTTTGCCCGGCATGCGCTATTCGATTATACGTTTGCCCGTTCTGTCGAAAGACAGTAACGGGCAGAAAAAGACTCTATTATGACGGATGAGTTCAATTACTAAAACATAGAGTAAACTTTAAATCAAATTTCATTATCTTTTCTCATACCATATATTCCATTAATCACAATTTTACATTTTTTTAGATTTATAATTTTATGTTTATCAAAATAGATATAGTAAAATAAAAGATATATTGATAAATTTCTACTATTCAATTAACCTACCATTCCCTAGCCTATAAGTAGAGATTTATAACCAATCAGAGACGAGCTTATTTTCAACCAATCAGAGAACGCCTAATTCAAATATTTTTGTCCGTTAATTTCAATACCACAGTCACTTATTTATAACCAATCAGAAGCGAGCTTATTTTCAACCAATCAGAAAACACCTGATTCAAATATTTTTTTCCGTTAATTTCAATACCATAAAAGATAATTCATAAATCATAGAGGAACACCAAAGAAGTAATTAAATATTATTAAATTTATATTAACATAAGAGTACACAGTCTTCAACCCTTCCAAAAACAACAACCCCACCCCACCCCCCCAACTCCAACACCCACCCCCAACACTAAATCCACCCCTTAAACCACCCCCAACACTAAATCCACCCCTTAAACCACCCCCTACTCTAAATCCACCCCTAAAACCACCCCTAATCCAAAAAACCACCCCTAATCCAAAAAACCACCCCTAAAACCACCCCTAAATCAACCCCTTCAATCCACCCCTAGGCAACACGCAACACACCAAAACTACCCCTGCTAGATCGGGGGACATTCTACTGTGTTTCTATATTGGAGACAGTGGTTACATTGTAAACTCTGCGGTTTAAGGACCTGGTTCATCATGAACGTCCATTTATCACTTTTGCAGCCCCCCTCCCCATTACAACACAAAGGTTTGAACGATTTTCACCACAAAACTAGGATATTGGAAACTCAATTTTGTTTCAAAATCCAATTATTCGTAAGCAGTTTTATATTTTGTACAAAAATGTGTTTTTTAAATATTTTTATTTAGTTTGATGGAAAAAAATAGTGGCATTAACTATACATAAAAGTTAGACGGCAAATACATAGATTACACCCACTTTTACGGTAGATATTTCATCATAATGGATAATCTGTAGACAATTTTATTGTTAGTTTCGTCCGGTGCCGATCGGTAGTGTGTGATCTGTTTAAGTTATTTCAGTTATTTAAAACCTAGTTAAACTAACTAATTATAAACAATAATTCATCCCTTGGTTATATAACCAAACAGTGAAGCACAAATCATAAAATTAACTGTGAAATAATAGAATCAAGTTCGTCGACACTAGCACCCAGTGTCACCAACATTAACGAGATATGTAGAAGAAGCTTTAGATTTTACAATGAGAGGTATATTTGTGTTGGTTAGTCTATGGTAAATATTTCATTCCAATGTTAAAACTTCGCATTACTTGCCACTTGAGAGTAGGTTGCTGTGCAGTTTAATACGAAAGTTGTCCTCACCAAACCCTAGTGTTTGTTAGGTTATACATATGGTTGTTTCGCCTTAAAATATGAAGTTTGTAGGTTCCATCACCAGTGGAAACGTTTCTGTAACCAGATTCCATTTTCCGGGCTATCAGTCCCACAACATACTATCTAGTATAAGCTCGACGTTAGATAATACAAGTTTGGAACGTTCCGTTGCAAGAAAAACGAAAAAATCTCAATCTTTACCAAAACACCCGAACATTCAGTAGAAAAACGAATTGTTTACTATTGATTATTTTAATTCCTGCTTTACTGTTATAGAATGAAGAGCAACCTTATGAAATACAACCATATAAAATATTACGATGTCCTCTTTGAGTTAAATTTACTAACATTCCTCTCCATGTCATTTATTTGTTTATTTAATATTCTTACGTAAAGTCATATGTGATTTGCTTTCAATAATTGACGTAGATAGCGTTTAGTTAACCTAATCATTTATGCACGCCATCTACTCTTTTACTACGCCGTCTCAAGTACTAAATTACGAAATAATGAAATTAGTAATAAGAGAAATAATTGTTTACAACAACCAAGGCAATTCAGCACAGCTGTTCCGCAGTCAGCTGTAAAGAGAACTAATCAGCGACGCAATAAAACATTAAGCGTTTCATATTACGATAATATTTTGACACCAGCCTTCACATTATTACTGTAATAACTATTTCTGAATAGCTGCACATATGTGTTTTTGGTCACTTAAAAAATATTTTATTTTCTATGAAAGGGTTACATTAGTACTTTATGTAAGATAACTTTATGTAAAGGGGATTTGTGAAATATTAATTTATATGATATTGTTAACGTATATAGGGATTTTTGTGACTATAATAAAGTTAAATGTTACAATTCCATAAAATATGAGCTTAGATAGGGTGTCATTATTTTGAAATATATGCTTTGAATGGGTTGTACCTGTATAAGTACAGATAAAACTATCTACTTAATTCATATTTATTGAATTATGGCAGGCTTTAAAGAAGTTCAACCTTACTGCATAATATTTATTTATTATTTTTAAGATTTTCCACAGAAAGTGCACTAATTTACCAGTTTATTATTTTCAAACCCGTTTATGTATGAAAATTAGTATAAACTAGGCGTATACATGGGGTCATATAGGTTTTAATTTTTATGTGAAGCAGTTGTAGCCTATAGTAATCTTAGTTAATGAAATTTTTTGTGAAAATTGTATTAGGTTATCCCTGGCAATTTATTACCTTTAACTTATTATATTGCATCAAAGTCTTTCTTTCAAGAAAATGTAGATTCATATTAGAAAACGACGAATATGTGTGTAAAATGTGTAAGATTTGGATGTTAAAATTATATAAATAACGCTAAGGTGTCCAGGGAAGATATCCGAGGGAGAAACTATGAAATAAAACCAGACCTTAAGCTTGATGAACGGGCAAGGGACGAACCAGGGGACTTATGTGAGGGTCAAGTAATCCCAAACCTACTTCCAGGACTCTTCCAAGCATGCGTTATATTCTGTTTCTTATCAAAACAAGATCCAAACATTTCCACTGGACAGTTTTATTTTTGCATAAAACATGTCAGTAAAACAAATATTAAGTTCTGACTATCCAAATCGAATTAATTTAACCAAAATATTATTTTAAACGTAAAATTTATGTTTTCTGGTGGTCGATCTGTTTACAATATGTGTTTACGATTAAGTCTAATGTAAGAAAATAGTTTGATTACATTTTGAATGATAGTATATTTTGACACTGAACTAGCCCAACCACAAATGTTTTTGTCAGGGAATAAACCAATAAGCAAAGTAAAGAATAAGCTCATACAATACGAGAACAGCAAGTTATGAAACATTCTACTAAGCAGTAGCGTTAGGACACAAATCAACGACATTACTTCCTTGATTTTTACAATTCGTTGCGCTACCGATAGATAGAGTTAAAACTAACGATAGGTAAACAAAACCAATGGCTGTAGTATTATTTGTAGTTATTATTATACTATCAGCATAACTTGTTTACAGTAAACTATGGATGGTATCTGTGTATGTCTCTCACCATGGACAGAAAGAATTAAATATAGACTGTCAGCCGTGCTGCGGTTACCAAAGGTTCTGGCACACACAGCTGGGAGCGCCATGTAGTTACGGCTACCACGCTACGTAACTACACAGCGCACCCAGCGGTGTGCGCCAGAACCTATGGTAACCATGACAACCGCAGCACGGCTGAAAGTCTATATTGAATTCTTTTTTGTGTATGGTCCCACACAATTCATCTGGGTTGTCTAAGATCATATTTTGGTATTGTTTCCATAAATTGTTTTATATCATACTACAGAGAAACTTTTCCATCCGTATTGATAGGCTGGAAAGTTGCTCTTTTCCGTGCCTACACACGGAAAAGTAACGTTATGTACTTTTACCGTGCACTGCACAATTAATGCTTTTACCATGAACCAAGTCGACTGATTAAAAAAACACCTATAAAATAAGCAGTCGTACTCGCATGATTAAATGCCACTTACCAGGCTAGTAACATAATATACTATTACTAACTTTTGAAAATTCTAAATTTTTAGCGTAGACCATGTGTCGGTTTTATATCACACGAAAAAGTCTCCTTTACTTCAATTACATATAGGATTCTGTGCAAACAAGCCCGGAATAAAATCTAATTTTCCATCATCATGTGTTTTATAGCACAATTCTTTTTACTATACCTATGTACAAGAGAGATGGAAATATTTGGTTTACCTTGTATATTTATGTTGGTGGACATTCCACCTTAAAACAACGTAGACTTTTATAACTAAAGTGAAATTACTCTCGACAGGTTTCCAATATTGTAAAATACAAATTTGAGAGAGACTTCATATGTTTAGTATCAGATGTGGAGTTTGAACAGAGATACAATATCAACGAAGATTCGATGGAGACAGTTTTGTTACACTCGTTTGCTCTCTCCGTATGGTCTACATTATACAACAACAAACCTCGGGCTGGAAATTTACCGGGAATATTTAATTTCACTCTAACTACCCAAGTGTATTTTTTCAAACATTAAGGTTATTTAAACATGTATTTTTAATGAAACCAGAAGTACTCGTTCACTATTGTTTTTTAATGTTTATTTCAGTATTCAAAGTCAATATTTTCATCAAGCTTGGGCGAGCACTGGAGTGAAGGTGGATAAATGTAGTACGGTAAGAATAAAAAATGAGACGGTCTTAAAGGCAATGAAGCCTAACTTATCTCGTTGAGTGTATCAGGGAATTGGAAACCTTTACTGAATATCTACTCTTTTGGATTTCCTAAGATTAATCAATCTTAATCTGAACAACTCTCGACTATTTGTATGAAGGCATGTAGTGTACGTATCTCAAAAGGTGTTACTTGAATCGTTTCAACAATACCTCATTCTAACCTAAAATAATTAACGAAGGCAATATAGTATTGGCTTATATCTGGCATTGGTCAGTTTGAAATCCAACTAAAACGTTTAGTTTAATAAATTAAATTTAAATTAAACTGTAAAGCAAACGCTCTGAAATCTGAGTTAAAGTAGACCAAGTAATGTTGTCTTGAACCATCACTACATTTGGGTTATTTTTGCTAATATTATTAAAACTAACTTAGGGTTGGTAGATTCATCATTATAATAAAATACCACCACCACAGCAAACCTGCAGACTAAGTGAATTTCCATTCTCCTTGATTTCTACTAAAATATTTCCTTAAAATTGTCAGATTTGTTTCCTATTTAAATAACATTAATTTTAATCAGTACTTAGATTTAATGCTACAGGGAAGGTATTGCGGCGATTTTATTGAAATGTTGATAGCTTAGTATGAAATAAAGTGAAAAATTTGATTCAAATATATCCATAAACAAGCAAACTACAACAGTTTATTTATTTTCCAAAAGTATAGCCTAACATGAGAATTATAAATTTTAAAATTTTTTGAATTATCTTACTAACAGCTAGGCATACAACAACGCTTCAGTATACAAAATTGCCTCTATTTTTAAGCTTAACAAAATGGTTTGGAAATAAATTGTGAAACCCCTTTGTGTTTTTACATTTTAATAACATTTTTAAGAGCGGCTGTTATGTTAGAATGACAGTCAAATAACCGAAATAACTGCCCTACTAGCGTCAAATCTATTGTATCCTAAGCTACAAATTAATACTCCCTTTTCCATCCGCGCTCTCAATTCTAAAAACCTCATTTTAAACACACAAGAAAAAAATTTCCAACTCGACAGTCACAACATAAAATCCAAAACCTTCCCAATCGAAGCGTGATATAAAACAACGCGTTGTAGAAGTAAAACATAAATTTCCCCCTGAAGCGGATGAATTGTGGTTGTGGAAGTGGTGACAAACCTAACACTTTGTGTGAATAACGGGGTTCAGCAAGATCAACAACGAAGGTAGGGATGAAACGCTGGAGGGTGCAATATACTTCTATGTCAAACGGCACCGAGGAGTTGTATTGATGTAGGCTATTGTGAAACCTTTTCTAGTAAAAATTCAGATTTTTGATGAAAATAACACTTCATGTTTTTATAAAGAGTAGGGAAGTTTCAGAAGTGTAAGCATCTTTTTTAATTTTACAAAGGTAAGCAAGAAAAGACATCATAAAATGTATTCAATTTTACTGTGGTGCAGTATTTTACTAAGGTTTTTAACAGTAAAAATAACTTTTAAGCTGCATATAACTGAAATAAACTTAAATACTACGTTTCTCATCCGTATATCTGTCAAAACTATTGGAGTACTAATGTGTGCACATGATAGAAAATTATATAACTGCCTTACAGTACTGGTGCGAGTATGCCAACATCAGAGAACTATTTTGTGAGTATATATATATCGGATGTATATAAAATTCCTTTGATGTCCCTTAGTGACGTAAACAATTCATATAATCTAGAGTAGTATGCTACTAATCCCGAATCACTAGACTAGACAGTACAGATAACATAAACCATTCTTATTTTATTTCATCTAGGTGAAAATATAATATATACATTGTATATCATTTGAAACCACCGTAATCTAGTGCTAACATGGCGTAGCCAATTGTTCAAACGGATTGAAGAAAAAGTTATATATTGTGGGATCAAATTTAAAATTTTTAAATATATAATATGTGACCAATTTTAAGCTAAAGACGATTTATTTTGTGGGTTGGGCTACCAAATTACAATTGTTTTAAATATGTATTGAAGTTAGGCAAGGAAACCATTTTCTTTGTAACTATCTCAAAACATTCACACGAGGATCGTTTCTTTAATTATTTTATTTTATATTATTTATTTTTCCTGTCAAGTCTTTTTAATATTTCATTTGGCCCATAAACACTGCATTTACAAATAAATCACAGACTACACCCGAGTTTGGAAACTTACCTTTGGATATAAATCGCGAAACTGTCACATGCAACTGGTGTAACTAAGATATGTGACAGCCATCCGTGTACATTTAGACATTTACTGCTTTCAGTAGAACTGCATCAGCTGATATGTGTGGGAAAAACAAAGTGTTGATTCTGGGTATATCTTTTTAGGTTTTTTTTGGGGTGAGGAGGGAATATCCTTTTACGCACACAGTTAGCCAGCCTGTAGTGTGAGACTCCTGAATTCATCAGACTACTCAGTTTGGTTAAGTTTACGTTTTTAATTACGTGAGACCTGTTTAAGTTGGTGTTGGTTGGGTTGCTGGCCTAGTGGTTTTTTTTTTGTCCTGTGACGCTAGGCACGAGCCCTGAATTGTTTTTCACATTACTTCAGGCTAGACCAAGGGGTTACGGCATTATTATTTAGAAAAAATCCATTGATTTGGCGGGATTTGAATCCGAGACCCCAGGAACTGGAGTACCGCGCTCTAACCACTAGACCAGCTCGCTCCCCACTAGCGTATTGGACTTCGGTGCGGGATGGACGGGTTTAATCCCCGGCACATAGACAAATCTTTAACAGGTTTGGACCACTTTTCCTAAAAGCGTTTTTCACGTCAACTTCAACTAAAATGCCACTGGCATAGAAAAAAAGTATTTTAACTCTTTTACTGTATTAGATAAGAAATAACTGCTGTTTGTAATCGTATAGCCTAAACAGAGCTAATCGAAAATAATTATCATTTGTCTGTAGAATCATAAATAAACAAAAACAGAATAGATCAAAGGATTGGGCACTTGAATGTAGGTATTTAAATTTATATGATTTTTACTTAAAAATATCCTTAGTTTTGACATAACATCAACAAAGCTTGTTGCAATTAAAATAAATGTCCTTACTAAATTCATAAATAGTTGACACATTTTGGTTTCAACTAGTTTGTTTAGAGATGAACTCCATTGTGAGAAGAACAGGTTCAACCCCTTGTATATTCCGAAACATTTTAAGCTTTTATGGCCGCTTTCCATCAAATCGTTAGTTTACGAAAGTATTACTTGAATTAAAACGATAAAAAGATTCTTAAGTAAAAGAATATCAATCATTAATTACGAATGAATTTGCTTTGCTAGCCGTTTTAACGGTAGTTATAATTTTATATTGCATTTATTCATCAGCAAGATAAAATAAAAGTTTGAACCCTTTATTTTTTTGTCTCTTATGTTCACAATACACAAAACAATCACTCTTGCAATATGTTTTAGAGACAAATTTAAATTTGCATTGCTTCCTGAGGCACCAGTGTCGTGTTTGTCGTGTTTTTCTTGTTCACCCAAAGAAACAAACAACCAATTCCAACCTATTTTACATTGTAATACATCTGTTTACATTACGAATTCCCAATTACTGTTTACCATCGGAGAGTTCTCAACGATCCTTAATTTAAAAGTCTTAGCTGTTCTAATATTCTTTGTTTTTCAGCTTTTTTCCATGATAATAAACAACTCCTCAATAGTATTTGAATTTCGTTTATTATTATTTTTTTCAGAGAACAGTTGTGTGGTTTTTGTTATTTAAAAAATATATATCAATCTGGCCTTGAGATATTATTTTTGCCTTCACGAACTCTGTTCCTTTTTTTTACTGAAATATCATGTATATTTTAAATATAGATAACTAGCAGAGTACCCGTCCTTCTTCGTACGGGGTTGGCGTATAAGTATAAAATTAATGCTTATTGCAGTTACACTCGTGCTTTGCATTTGCAATTAGGACACGGCTTAAGAAAATTATGTTCTTATAGATAATTCAAAACCCCCATCATTTACATAAGTTTACGTACTGTTTCGTTTCTGTTTTTTTGCAAATAATGTGTTTCTAACTTTTACATGTGAATCTAAATACATTTCGGTTTTTAAGGAATATATATATATATATCTTAATTTTATTGCGACTGTGCAACAAACCCCAATCAAAACGTTTTAAGAATGTTTAAAGGTTTTTTTTTATTTCGTAGTTGAGACTTGCAACCACCAATCAACTACATACAACGTTATCTTGAATTCATCACTACTAAAACTGCAATGTTTTACAAACGTCTAAAACTTAACATAGCGTAATAAATAATTAAATTTTTCTATAAAAAGCCTATGTACATGAGCTTATCTTAAATCTTAACAATTATATTCTTAACTGTGTTCTTCGACAATTGATGTACATAGTGTATATTCCTAAATATGTCACTTATCAAAAGGTTTTAATTGGACAAATTATTATAAATACTTAACAATTTGGTAATCCTTAGAAATTTGTCCAAGGTAAAAGATTATCTTGAGTCTGCGTCTAGACTCAAGATAACCAAGATGTTGTATATGCCTATATTATTCAAAATGCTCTTAAAATTCCTTTTTTATGTCTACATGACGGTTTAGTAGATGAAAAAGTTAATTCAATTTGTTTTATTCACGTAATTAACATTAAACTAGTACAATTAGTTTTTTATTACTTAAAAAATTACAACTGCTAGCATATTATGGAAAGTTATCTCATAATTCTGTAACCTCAGTGTAGTTGCCATATGATTGAATTTATCCAGGCTTACTTTCGATGTCCAGAAGATAATGCAAATACTGTTTGTAAAGAATCTGTCCACATATAGGAAATTCCCCCAATTTTGCTACCTCGGCGCAGTTCTCATATAAGTCGGTAGCGGCACCTGTAGCCAGCTGTTGTATTATGGCTCATCACCCTTGCACAGACGTCCCTATATTGCATGTATATCTGCTAGCCCGGCTCCATATTAGGGATCTGACGAGTCAAATATTTTCGCACAACCATTCACATTGAATATTGCATTTACATCTCTGATCCTGTTGTAAAATAAGCATGTTCTGATGTGATTTTTCTGTTACAGAGCAGCGACAGTTGGCAAGGGCACGATACAGATCAGGTAACATTCGTTCAAATATTTTGTAACAGTTAATTGTATTTGTTTGCACTAAATATTAACATAAATAATCATTATCATAACTACCTCGTCTAAGAGTTTATAACGCAGCTAAACACAATTTTTACAAATAATACGAAAAATATATTGTTAGATTCTAAAATGAAGAAATATTATGTGTAAGATTTTCAAAACTATATTTTTATTCTTATTAACCCTACTTAGCATCCTGTGTATATTTTTTATACAACATTTAACTACATGATTGTTCAATATTAAAAAAAAACAAATCTTTATAATGTAATATAAACTACATACACACCTACGACCATTACCTAATCACTTTTGTATTCTGAAAAATATAATACCATTTAAGTTTGTAATTGCACTACAGTAAAACATGGAAGCTGTTTATTGAGTTTTCAAACCAGAAGTGCAAACACCACTTAGCAAGCGAGGATACTACTTCAAGTTTAACATTAGTTTCGTGTTATGCAATACGTGAAATCCATTAGCAATGTATATCTGACCTAATTTCTGTTTAGACAGTTATTACGTAGTCTACAAATAATATTTATTAGCCAGTGTAATGATAAACTACTGTTTTTATGCCTTTTAGAAACTCTACAAGAAGGAAATTGTATATTTAAAACAAAGAAGTAGTTTTTTTCTTTTACTTTAAATCAAATGATACATATCATAAAGTCAACATTCAGTATATGTTACTACTTTAGTAATTGAGGCTCGATTTTAGATTAAGAATACAAGTATTTGTCGCAATACTACAGTCAACCCGTCGCAAACTTATCACAAAATTAAATAATTAAAATTAATGTATTTTATACATGTTATTGTATTGAAATTTGCATCTTAGCGGTAAAAATAGTCAGCATAATCTCAGCTTAAAGAGTTTAATACTCCATTCACATCACCCTGCATTCTGACAGTAGCAAAACCATTTTCTACAGTATGCCCTTTGAATTACTACTAAGATTTGTATTCACCGTTTTCAAAATTTATTTACTAAACGTTTAACAGTAAGGTGAATGTAAAATCTTTTAAATTTTGCTAATCTTGTCGAAACATACATTTCTACTGTCATTCCTTAATCTCTCAAAGAAAAACTGCTAGTCTTTGAACAAGACTTGACTACACTCACAATATTAAAGGATCGTAACTGTTTATTTTCCGTGGAAAATATGTCACATGACAATTCCACAGCCGGAATCTCTAAATGGAGTATGTTTACTGCTCTTGGATGTGCGAGTATAATAAGTGAAAACGGGATCATTGTAGGCCAGGGAAGCACCACTAAAGCTTTATCTGCCTGGTGAAGTCCCTACATGAGGTGTTAAGGCCAGTTATGTTCTACAGATATCCTAATCGTTCTAGGTAAGGGTTACTTTATTGCTTGAGGCCTACACTTCAACCAGAGCAAAATATTTCCGTTTGTTTAGTGATGATTTTTTTTAGTGTTTTTGTCAATATTTTATGGGTCTGTGTGCACATTCAAATTGGATAATTTGTTAACGATTAATAGGAATTCTAGTTGTTTTTTCGTATAAACTTTATATTAACAAAACTCATAGTTGATTTTTTTACATTTTGTAGTAGACAAAAAATTAAAAATTTCATCGAAAAAGCTTTCTGGTTTGTGTGAAGATCTATTTTTTACATTGCTCCATTATTTAACCCAAATAGTTGACCACTGTGTTAACCTCTACAAGTTGTCCGTTTTTATGTAAAATTATAAAGGAACAACTGTTAAGTTTTAAAGCTACGTATTTGGTCTACCACAATTATGTTGGTTTACATTACTTATTACATCTTTGGATATATCACTCCATTTGGACCAGTAATAAAAAGAGGGGTTAAGAAGAAATACTTCATCCCCATAATCTTGTACTGAATACACAGGATGCAGTGTTACGCCGAAATCTTGATGTTACCTGTAATTAGCTACATTAGCTTCCATACTGGCACCAAAGTGTAGTTTTGAACATACATATTATCTTATGAACAACTACTTTATAATATCTTCATTTAAGAAAAAATTTTATTTTCCAATGTTTTCCTCAGAGACTATTAAATTTAGAATCTACCAAAAAATGAATCAACTCCAAATGAATGTGAAACTTAAATACTTGAAATTAATCTATACTTTTTGATCTAAATATTTAAACTTAAAATAAGCGTAAGGAAGAATGTGCAGGCAGTATCCTTGAACCTTTGTCTGTCGTATGAAGTGTTCTGTGCCCAGGTTTTTGCAACAGCGGACCAATCTTGTGACAAAAACTTTAATTTGCCGTTTCCAAGAAGCCATTGTCTGCTGATTACCTGTCTACCAATTGACCCCAACCTTCTCTTTTTATTTTAATTCTTTAAAAAAATGCAATTAAATATGTATACCTAACAATATGTATACAAGTTTAGACATTATTTCATAAGAGTGTGTAGTATAACTACAAGTGTTAAGGAAAAAGAGTTTTAAGGTTTGTATTTGTTTAAAGAAGAAAACGAATTAGTGTATTATGTTTTACATCAAGCTAAAGGCACATAGAATATCCAATGACCAATAACCAATGAACCATTTTTGTATTCGGGTACTATAGAATTTATCTTAATTAAATAAGTATATAGATGAACAACCTTCAGCTATCGGTCGTATTTTAGGTGTACATGCTTTCATAAAATTTCGTTTATAAACCTGTTAAGTAAGGGCGCTATGTTTTATAAATAATTTATCATAAAAAACCTTTTTTAATAAAAATCTAAACAATTACATATTAATAAATCCAAATAAATTGAAAAGTTATGATTTGAATAAACTTAAACTTTACTTCTGGATTTAAATTTAATCATTTAACGATTGGCAAAAAGTAAAATCAGAAGTTAGATAAAGTTTGCAGTCGAATATTTTAATTAACTGACAAGTATCATTGCTTGGAGCTGCAAGCCTCAAACAAAAACTTTAATTTTCCGTTTTTAAGTTAACTTTTCTCTCCAATGCTAGGTCCAATTAATTACTTTTGTACTTCTACTAAGTTATATTTGAACTGATCTTTTAGTTCGTAATTTAAGAGATTACATTATATTTTCTCATCTTATTGAAATAGTTTATTGAATAAACCATAATAACAAGTACCTATATAATATGTTTTGAAGTTGTGTTTTATTAAAACTAAATACTTAATACATGAAAGTCTTACTTTTGTTAAAGAAACTCAAAATTAAGCAAATAGGCTATTCATTTTTCCTAAATGTTTCAATCATCAAGAGAAAGATTTTAAATTCATTTTGTCTTCAAACTGAAGTATAAATGTGTGCGGTTTAAATATTAAAGATTTTCCATTTTTCAAAACAGACACATCACGTAAGCTCACTATATAGATACTTGAAAATTAAATGTATAGTGCTATTGAATTGACTGTTTACAAGAGGGTCTTTGTTTACGTTCTTTCAACAAACATACTTTTTTTTGTAAAACAAACACCTTTGGTTTTGTAAACTACAGTAAGATATTCCTACGATGTGATCCATGCTTGTGCAGATTTTTCTGCTGGAGATTTTGTAAGTTTTCGTGAAATTCTCAAAAAGATTTCACAAACTAAATTCTCTGCTTTGCTACGACATATTTTACACCACTTATCTATAAAAGCAGGAAGGGTCGCTCATATGGAGGTCTGCGGTTTAAGTGCTAAACCTTATCTTTATGTGGCGGAGTAAATAAGTGCTTTGCTAGAGCATCCTTTTCCACGAACTGATTAAGTGTTAATCAAGTTCTAAGTATTCCAACAGGATTAGGGAATGTCATGACAGATTTTACGATCCACTTAAAAGTTTAACTTATGGAAATTATCTTTTGACTCCTCATTGTTTTATTCAATTCGACGTTAAACATAATTATTACTAATAAAGTCGCAATGACGTATGTGGTCTTTTACTGATCCTACTCAAAGCTCTCCAGAATAAGAATTCCTAGTAACCATCTCATGTTGTGTTCACATGTGGACATTTTAATAGTTTTTCATTTTAGTTTTCCTCAACCTTCCCACGTGCTCTTGACTAGATGACAGCTAACACAAAGCTAGAGACCGTTTCCTAGTATTTTCAAGAGTAACATTTCCCCTACAATAAACAACGCTTAGTAAATATCCGATTACGTAAAGAACATTTGATCTATATACTTCCCGCTCACACGTTGATTATGTGTGAAACGTGTATTTAGCCAAATAATATATATACGTAATGATTTATTTGGATTACGAACTCCTATGGTGTAACATCTAAGGTTTAACAATCCTTATTGTTTCCCTTGGACTCATTTGTAATAAAGTAGATTATCATACCGAGAAAAGTCCTAAATCTCTAGGCTAACTTACGTTATAAATCCTTTGACAAATGTTGTCTATTTTTACTATGGTAATAGTGGAGTCATAAAATGGTTTCGTGGTGTATCGAAAAATTATGATTAAAAAAATTAGTTTTAGTTTTACTATTTTTAACAATGCTTTGTAGTTTTTTTATGTTTTGTGTACTATTTAATATCCGATCAAATAAGAAGTAGACGTAACTGAGAATCGGGTGTATTATTCGGAAGAAAGCCTAGCTGGTTTTTATTTTTTTTTATTATTTTTTTTTTAAGTGGTCTGTAATGTCTCGTGCACAGTTTGATAATATTTAATTGGAATAACTGATAAAGAAGTGGGTTTGTATTTGTTTCTAAGCTTTTGTTTGAATTGTCACCAAATACGATGTTTATTCAGTAAAATAGTGTGTAATTGAGTGTTGCATTACTTTTACAATGTTCGTGTTTTTAGTGTGTTAATTATCGATTTTACATTTTCCCTGAGAGTAAATAACAGCCTAGAGCTACAACTTATTTATGATACAAAAATATAACTTTTCCGTTTTTTTTATTAAATAAAAAGTGTTTAAATTACGATATTTGTTCATTTAATTAAATTACATTAATACTGTCGCTAAAACTAGTTCAAAATCTA